GAGAGGAGACTCAGGAGGAGGTACGACTCTAAAAGGACTGTGGCCAGTAGAGGAACCCATGGTGAAATAACTGAGTAGGAAAAAAGCAGCAATAAAATGGAAGGCACAACAGCACACTGACCCCGGTCTCCTGCACCAGTCTCGTCTCACCAAAGGTACTGAGTATAATGGGGACTGGAGACCAGAAAGGGGAAGGAGAAGTGTCCACGAAGTAGCTGAGGTGTTTCTCCAAGCACATTCCCCTGCTTTTATTTTCAACACCAGAATCAGTAATTAGATTTTTTTTAATTGCCAATAAATTAAATTGACTGAAGCTCCCCTACTCAAAACTGGGGTTTTTGGCCCACAACACCGACCGCTTCAGATGGAGGAACAGCTTAACTACCTCTACCGCTGTCTGAACCCATGAACTCTGTGGTCTCTAATTTAATGACTAAAAACCACTAAGCCCTCCCTTCCAGGGAGATCAACAGCACAAGTTCTCTCGTTTCTCAACATAAAATAGCTGCCATTGTATCTTCAGAGAGCTGGCTCCTACATGCAACTGGGATGCAAGGAATGTATGGAATTTCACTACTGGGAAACAGGGGAAGCCATCAGGCATGGCAAGACTGCACACTGCGCCTGCCTGACTCTTTGGATTTGAATATTCATACCCTCGTGTGAACTAAGTGCTATTTAAAAAAAAAAAAAAATCTCCAGCAAACATGCAGTGCCTGAACTGGCATCTCCTTGGTTATTTTTGTTTCCCTCAGTATCAACGCTGCACACCAGAACTGCAATTTGAAACCTAATATTAAAAATAAATTTAGAAAGAGAAAGTACAGAAAAAGCATCACCATAAATCTGCCAATAAAAACATAATTCCTTATTACTTTTTAAAGACAAAGTTGTAAAGATATTTATAAGATATTCACGTACCACTGGATTCTTTTTTTGTACAAGTGGAAGTAGATAAATCCCAAGACTAAAATTTCCTTGTCATAGCTGTGAAACAAAGTTAAAGAAACTCTCTGCTCCAAAGACCTCCAATTCAAATAGTCAAGGCAGACAAGAGGAATGTTCTTATCCTCATTTTACAGATTAACACAAAGAGAGATCAAATTACTTCCCCAAGGTCACCTTAAGAGTATCTAACACAGAACTGTTCCATAGTTTAGTACTTTAACTACAAGAGTATTTTTTTAACATCAACTACTACGCGCATTTATGAAATGCCTTTTCAATGGCTTGTACAAGGTAGCACATTGAGTTAATCAAAACAACACCCCAAATGCCCAGCTCCAAAAGCAAACTGTCAAGCAGAACTAAATTTAAAACGAAGTAAACTGAAGTGAAAAAGAAAGAAAAGACGTCCCCAGCCCTCCCCCTGCCCAAGTGCCATTGCATAATCTCCTGTGTGCTCCAAAAGCTACAAACTTGGAGACTTTCCCAGGTCACCTGGGGTTAAAAGTTCCAAAGTCATGAGTTCACATCAAGACTATGTTTCATTAACAACCATGATATTGAGACAATGTCATGACACAAAACTCATTATTCAACATTTTCTTGATTCCTACTGGGAGTAAATGTCAAGGCTGCAAATACACAGAGCTCTGGAGAGACAGTCTCCCAGCCAGAGAACACCTTTAAATTAACACACAGGTAGCATTTTGCATGCTCTTCAAGCATCATCCCATCTAAAGCAGTTCTATTTACAGCACATGAAGAAGTTAGACTAAAAGCTGCTGAGGAGACTCCTTGCTCATGAAATATGCAAATGGAAGAGAAGACAAGACTGGAGCTACTGCAAGTGTTACAGTCCTCTTGGTCATAACCTTGATGGCTATCAGTATTATGCTTTATCAAAAGCATGATGGAAAAGCAACCGAGAACTAAATCTGCAAGACTTGAGCTTGACCATAGCCCAAATTATGCAGGAAATGTTAACATTTTGGTGAACTACACTTTCTGTGTTGCTCACATGGAAAGCTAACACCAACTGAACACCCGCAGAGAGAGTTGTGAGAACATGGAAGCAGGATCTGGGCTTTACTGCAACGTGGTACCCAATAGGTGCCAGCACCCGCCCTTCAACAGAACCAGTATGTGAAGAACAGAAATCATAAAGCCTTAGGACCCACTTCCTTAATCAAAAAGATCTTCAGCCCCTCCGCTCTTCTCCTCTTATCCTCCCAAGCACAGAGAAGTTTGTCATGACTAGTAACTAATCCACTTTCAGCTGTTTGCCCATGAATGATCTACCCTAGTATCTCATCAGGTGCAAAAACTGATTCCCAATAGGCTTTCCCAGCCTAGGACGGTCTTATCAACTGGACAAGAAATCAAGAAAAAGGGCTAAATCCTCAGCTTATGTGAATTACTGGAGGTAAAAATGAAGCTACAACATTTGTATCATCCATGTGGCTAGCAGGCTCACACATCCACCTCAACACTGCACTAAGAATGCAGGTTATTCAATACAGGCCTTAAATTGTGGAAGAGAATTCATAAGAAGACATTTATATGCATAGGTAAACTTTATTCTGTTGCAGGATATAAAGAAAGTTGCCTTTGGATGCAACACAGCAACATAATTTAGGTGAGTAACTAGATAATAAGGGCTCATAATTGGAAATAGATAAGTACACAGTCAGAGACGTGAAAATGTGGTATCAGTCAGACGTAATTTAGGAAGTGCCATTTGGTGTCAGCAGAAAACACCCTGGCCTCAGGATTTTTTTTGTGTATGAACTGACCAGGCAGACACTGAAATCATCCTGCAGTACGAGCATAATGAAGCATGCTAATTTGCTACAAACTGTTACTTACCATTTTGCACTTCAGTGAATAGGAATTGCATTTTTCTGGTGGAAACCAGCCCCTCCAGTGCCTAGTTAACATGTTTATGAACTGACACTGGACTGAACGCATTTTCAGCTTGTTCAAACAGCAACCCGGGCAGTGGCTGGAAGGGAAGGTACCAGCTGTACTCTACTGCCTGCCTTTTGCAAGTTTATCACTCCAGCGAGTGATATTTGTAGCAGCTTCAAACTGGCAATAACTCTTGACCTTCTGACTAAAGCAGGGGAGAAAAAAAAAAGCCTAAAGAAAAAAAAAAGCAAGGTACAAACAAAAGACATAAGAAAAAAACCAACACCTTTGCTGGAGAAATTATTTGAAAGTAATAAGGTAGAAAAGCAAAACACTAAACAGGTACTATCCTTTCTCAATCTGCAGCCATGAGATATGGAATACCAGTAATTGTGGAGCAAAATTAAAGACAGCATTTAGTTACTTTAGTCCATTATCTGTGTGAACAGAAAAAAAAAATTGATATCCAACATCTATATTATTAGCCATTGTAAATAATGGATTAAACTTGGTGGGGAGCGGAAAAGGAAGCAATTTAAACACAAGCCTTCTGCACATTTTCAAGCATTTATTGTCAACCTTTCCCATAATTCTAGGAGGTTTTCTCCCTTGCATTTTTTATAAAAATGATGGGCTTGTTTAAATTTTCTTAGGGGTATATGTCACCTTTCATGGTGTAGGATGCTAAATTGCATTTAGAGTACTCCTAAGGAACAGCCCCACGGAACATGGGGGAGCCCAGCCAACTCAGCATCAGCTGGGTGGGGAGCAGAAAGGTATCAAAGGATCAAAACTGATACACAGCTAAAAAAGATATATATATATTATGTATGCTTGAAGAAAATCAGCAGCCTAATTTCAAAATGCATCTTAGAAAACAAGCAACAATTATGATAAGCTGAATGACAATACACTTACCCTTCTGAAAAGGTAAGTGGCATAGTTGATTCAAATGATTCAGAAACTTCCAGTTTCAATGATTTGGGGTGAAATTGCTACTTAAATGCCCCCTGATGTGGCTTATTGATACTGGCAGCAGGTCAAAAGTTTGCCACTGACATTATAAAAATGATCCCATAAATCTGAAGTAATGAATCTCAAATCTGCTAAGTAGCCAATACTATTGATGCTGGGCCAGCGCTTTTCATGAACAAAAATTATCAGCAGACTGTATGATGGTTATGACTGTAACTCTCCATACATCTGACACACAACACCAGGCTGTCGAGGCATGTGTCCTGCTCTCTTCAATCTAAATTAGCTATGAAGCTAAATTCACTCAATTTATTTCATTTACAGCATTTAGAAAAAAAAAAAGCAGGTGCTCAGTTTTGAAAAACTGCTCACTCTTGTTCAACATTACTACTTAGTCCATTTATTCCCTTGTTTGAATTTATCCCACATTATCTTTTACATACTCCTCAGAAAAGTAAACAAAGATCCTCCTCCTGACAAACCAGAGACTAAGTCTGAATCTATCTGTGATAACACGATGGTCCAAAACCACAGGCAGCCCACTACTCAAATACAATTCAGAATGTTATTTCATATCTTCATAACACAATAAATGACCACTATTACCACAACCATTTCTAAATCCTTTGACCAGTAAATGCTTCGGTAGCAGGCTTAAAATGTTATTTATAGGTAATTGAAATGGATACCTAATTTACTACTGCAAAACTCAAACAGTATGCAAAACCCCATATAATCCATTTTTTCATTAGAAGGTAAAATATGACCCTCTCAAGTCCAGATTTGCTGAATATATCAATGTTTAGCTTTACAATTTTCAGGTAACTGCTTTGGTGGTCAATGCTCTTTGAAGTGCAGGAAATACAGGTAAAAAACAGTCAACAGCAAACTTGGGTTAAATCACATGAAAACCCCCACATGTATACACAGAAGGCGCCCAGCTGTGCAAACACTCTAAATTAGGTGTGTTCCAGATTCTACCCTCATTAAAACAGGTACAAAGATAATCAATGCAATCCACCGCAGGTTTGGGCACATCACTTCTATAGAAAGGAAAACAACAACTGTCAATCAAAGCATGCTTCATTTTAAATTCGAAGGTTTAAACCTGAGGTGATTATGGCTGGCACATTAGGTAGTTTCAGCTCCAGTCAATCAATAAATATAATTACCTTTTTCTTTCACCATGGCAAACAGATTTTCTTCTTAGTGGAAGCAGCAAGAATTAGCTGAAGTAATTTAAACACAACCTTTTTTCCAGCAGTGTTTGGCTGAGATGGATTAAAACAAACAACAACAACAACAAAAAAGGAGCTGCGGTTTATTCCAGATAATTTTCTTCCACAGATTCCCCACAAGATGTGATGAGGTCCGATTGTTCCTCACTGTCTCTCGTCTTCTCCTGCCTCTTCTCTTCTCCCACCGTGGTCTTTCCCTCCGGCTGATGGCAGCTCATGCCCTGCTGGCAGACTCTGCCCCTTGTGCTGAAGCTCCAGCTGCTGCTGCGGAACAAATGCCGAATTCCATCGTCCCTCCTTCCCAGCCCCTGACACCACCTTGCATTCCTCTGCCCTCGCACAACCCGGCTGGCAGCACAATTAGCTCCCGAGTGACCGGCGAAAGACCGCAACCAGGACCATCTGAGAGAGACCAGGAGAGCTGCTCACACACACACACACAGAAAGCTAAAGCCGCCTTTAGGAGTTTCCTAATATTTTATTTACTCCAACTGAGCCAGGGTGAAGAGGGGAAATACAAGCTGCAGAAGGGCTGAGGCAGGCTGCAGCACAGTTCTGTTCTATGGACAGCACTGTTTATCCACTCCTGGTTTTACTTTAAACCTGTTACCAACTGCCAATTACTAGCCCACAAAACGTGCTAATAAACAGTCTCTCTATGCCTTCTGACCACAGCGCAGAAGAGAGTAACATATAATCTGTGCAAGCTGGGAATACCAACTCTATTCACTACCTTGAAATAACAAGAAAAATGAGAAAAATGAGAGCTGTCTCCGCTCAGTGAGCACCTAGGGTGAGAAGCACAGCCAGGGAGTACCACGGACTAGATTTTTGCTGTGAGTCAAGGTCACTGCTTTATTCTGAAATACCAAATAATTGCAAACTACAGCTTCTCTTACATTATTCCTTTTGAGATGACAGCCACAAGTACTCACAGAGCTGAGAAGAGAGAGCGACTGGAACAGCAGCACTGACACATGAATTTCACCCCCCCAGCACCTCCCCAAAAAGACAAAGATCAGTGTTAAATCTGGGTGTCAAACTGACCTTCCAATTTATGGCTTTCTAGGCACAAAACTCTACCTGAGAAAGGACTGGTCAGTAAGCTGGTCTTAAAACCCAAACAAATCAACCCTTTACAATATTACCATGTCTCATCATCTTACGGCAGGATTCAGAATATTTCTGTTTTCTATGAAAAGATACAGGTCAGAGTCAGGTGAGAAACAAAGCTTTTCTTTTATAAGCATACTTGTATTCACAGTTATGAAGAAAAGCTTGGAAATGTGATTAATCAAATCCCTGAATGGCCATTAAAACCCACTTGACGTATTAATTTTATTACATACATACTGCCAGTATGAGAATTTTGGGAAATCTCTATCACTACTACTATAAGCCATTTTTTCCTTATTTATAAATGATTTAATTCCTCATTTTAGCTGGCTACCAGTGACTTCACCGATGCAAACCTGCACCATCATGCCTTTGCTTGGACAGCAAATTTTCATATTTGTGGTTTAGAGGTGGAGAAAATGACAAAGGGAACTTAACTGACTTGCCAAAGGCAGAGATGACCTCAGTAGTAGAGAACTGGGTCAAATACAAAGATATTCTGGGCTAGATTATGGGCAGATTCATCGGGTTACAGCTTCAACTTGATCACAACTCAGTGCAAGATGTGCTTTAGGTTAGATGATGGAGGTGCAATTCCATTTATACTGCACCCTAAAGCACAAGCCACGTTCAGCCCTGAGTCGGAGGAACCCCAATTTTTTGAGAGCTGGACTTGAACTGGAGCTCACACCTCCACAAGGGAATTCCTTCTCAATGCTACTGTATGTGGGGAGAGAGAAATTAATGTAAAGAAACAAGCTGTAGGCATCAGCCAGACAGAGCAGCAGATGGCTGATACCTGCTGGAAAAAAATCAGAGCATCATGCAGTGTTAAAAATATTTGCAGTAAATAAATTCAAAATGTTTTGTATAAATGCCACCCAGAACAACAGAAAAAATGAAACAAGCCAGTCTGCCTCGCCTGAAAGATCTCTCTTACTCAGTGACATTCTTTAATAAATAACTAACTAAGAGAGAGAGAGAGAAAGAGAGACAGAGATTCAGGCAGACGCATGGGAAAAAAATAGTTATTCTATTCTAACAAATCTCAGCTGGCTTTCTATTGTTAGCAGCCTAACGTGTAAGAGCAGCACAGCTCAGGCAGTCTGACATTCCTGCTTCTATGACTCAGTGTGTTACTATTAATAGCCCTGGAGGCTCAGTTGGGGAGTCGGGCTGAACCCCACCACCGCCGGGCCATAACCCGTGATGTCACATTTCTGACACAGGCGAGATGTCGGGCTGTAACTCAGCCGGGCTGTGTTCTTCTTCAAACAGTATTTTGTAAACAGTTAGGGGACAGCCTCCTGAAAGGGGCATGTCTGACCTTCATTCATAAATATTTGATCTGATGTGCAGAGTCTCTGGATACACAGGCATGGATCCTGTTAACCCCTTCCTGCCATCCTCAGGCACCCTCGCGAGGATTACCATTCATTTTTTGTTCCAGCAGCTGCTGACACAGAAGCTGCCTGCTGGTATCTGGACTTTCTGTTCTCTGAGTTCATTACCTCCATTTTTCACATGTGCTAGAGATTAGCACTGCTCTGTCTCACCTCACCCGTAGCGCAACAGAAGCCTTTCCTCACATCGCTCAGCCATGGAAAGCCACAAGGGCAGACTACAGCATGTGCATAAAAATAAATTTAAAAATACAGGCTGCAATAAATCGTACTGGAGATTTAGGAGTCAAACGTAATTTACTCCTGAGTTAAGAGATATAAAGAGCAGAAGTTGGTATTGTAAATAAAATCTTCTTACACCAGGATGGCTTTTGGTTTTAATCTCATTGTTTTAAGCCTGAAGACTAAAATCTACCCTGCTACCCTGTACAATTCAGAATCTACTCAGATATCCTAAACTGGAGATGAAAGAGGAACAGATAGCAATTCTAGAAACAAATCACTGGTGCTTACTGTTATTTAGAGGTGCATATTTTAAAGGAAAGAAAAATAACCTTTTTTCTTTAAATAACCTCTTGCAGTGTACAATAAATTAAATAGAGAGTCTCCCCTGACCACAGCTGAGTGGAAGAATCACAGTGTGTACACTACAGCTAAACAACATGCTTATGTTACTGTTATTTTCTGGTGAAAAATACCCTGGGCATTCAGCAAGAGGCATGAGCCCCACACGGAGATCACGACACAAAGGGAAAGAGTTAAACCAGTCTGTTTTGCTTTTTCTTGTACCTTGATACTATTGAAAAAGTATGTGTAAGATACTAAGCAGTTTAGCCGTGATTTAAGATTTGTTATTCTCATTTTAAAAGCTGGCTTTCATATTTTTATCTTGCTCTCATTCTTCACAGATGAGATCATGGCTTAGAAGTATCAGTGCACAGTTTTTATACAATTTCTTCAAAACTGACCAATATCTCTTGTTCATCAACCAACGAAGGAAACAGTCTGCTAGAAAACAGAAAGGGAAAGGGAAGAAGTTGTTCTGTATAATAACATCCAGGAAAATGCCCTCTGTTTAATGTCCTTCCTTCCGGCAAAAAGCCTGGCACAAACAGTTTTGAGAAGAAAGTTTGCCACAGGACTTCCACAGCTCAACCACTGCACAGCCTGGGTCAACTGAGAGCCATCGCTTCCATAAAGTCTTCGTCATGATCCCTTCTCCAGGAAGGAAACCCCACTCCCTAATGCTCTTAAATAAGGTGACCTGCTCTAATTGTTATCCTGACTTCACTGTGCCTGCTCAGAGGAAAACCAATAATGTCAACATGGGATTTTGTGCAAAAGACCTGTGCCCCAGTAGTGGTCCCAGGGCCCTGACGGGGAAGCACAGAGTTTCCAGTTTCAGCATTCTCAGCAGCTATACGATGAAGTATTTCCTGGCTTCTGTTCCTCTTGAACATACCCTCCCCCAGCAATCTATTCCTCCGATGCCTCTCCCTCAGCCACTTGGACAACAGACACATTTTCCATCACTTGAAAGCAGCTCCAGCAGCGGTGCTTCTTAAGGACCGTGGGACAAAAGGCGGCAGGCAACAGACTCAGCAAAGCTGATGACTTTGGTGGAGTTTTTCAGATTCACCCAGGCACGCTGCTGAGCGGAATTCAGCCTGTACCTGACAAAACTGTGCCCTGTACCTAGGTGTGAACAGCTGGGTGTCTGCTCCTGAACAAAGACAGAAGGTGTTTGGTGAGGTTGTTCTTGCACATGTTGTTCTTTTGCCTCTCCAGGTACTTACAGCACCCCTCCATAAATCTACTAGTCCTCCCAGGCCTGCAGAGGAAGTCCCTTTATGGCAGTTACGTCATCTTATAGCCTTTCCATGCCCTCAACTCAGTTTTTGCTATATAATGACTTCGTACCGCAACCAACCTCTCCTTAACCCTGTCTCCTCACCACACTGCCCTGTGTGGAACCACCAGAACGTTAAGGAGCTGGGATGGCCCCACAGACTGACCTCACCACCTCAGACCCTCTGTCACAAGCTTTAAACAGTCAGAGGAGCATACACAGACCCATCAGAGGGGAACAGGGTTCTGTCTTAGGACATGCTACATTCCTGGAACCCTACATCTTAGGAAAATCACAATATCCTTACTCATAAGCCCGATCCTCGAGCCAATATTGGCTGATTGGTCTGGGTCCTACCCACAACTTTTCCACTATGCTGGGCTTTTCTTTGTAGCCTTGCTATTTTGAATACAACCAGTCTGTAATATTGGTGTTTACAATCATTTGTCATCACTCTTTTAGAAGAAATTAAAATTTACCAAATAGATCCCCTGATTCAGCAAAACACATAGTATATTCATTCTAATCTGCCAAGATTTGATGGTTCAGTGCTTTTTTAATAGAACCATTTAATATTCTTCAAATTAGACTCCTCAGGAATAAAACATTTCTGAGGTTTTGATCTTTTAAGAGTTCTGCATTTCTAAAACAAAATTTGATTTTCTGAGGTTCTTGCAAGCAAGATTGCTTGTAAATACAGGTAAAACAGTAAGAGTAATGTCTAATTTATTGCAAAACAAAATAAGGAAACAAGGATACTTGGCTTTGCTTCAAATGTTAAAAAGCCTACAGCACACACACCCTTATGTAAAAAGCACCTGAAACCTCCAGATCATCTTTAGAAACAAATGAGAAAAGATGGTTCCATTATACTTCTTTGCAGTAGCCCCAGAAATACATAAAGCTCA